CTCAGAAGTTGCACCATCTGCTGCTTTGTTCGGGGCCATCTTGCTCCCTGGGGTTGTTAGCTTTCTGCAGGGGTTCAAATCATGGTGCCGCCACTTAGCGTTGTGAAACCTTGGGCGGGTGACTTTGCTTCCTCCTAAGTGCATTGAGGCTAACAAGAGTGCTTTTCTCACGGATCCGTGAGACCTGGGAAGGGTTCAGGGAGTTAACTTACCAAAAAAAAAAAAAAAAAAAAGGTATTGAAACAGCATTGGACAGAGAGACACAGATTAGGATGCGCTGTGGGAACACCATTCTGTGAAAACGTGGAAAAGGTGGCCGTCAACAAGCCTAGGAGAAAAGTCTCAGGAAAAAACCAGACCCTCTGACACCTTGAACTGGGACTTCTAGCCTCCATAACTGTGAGAAAATTAATTTCTGTATTTTAAGCTACCCTCCCTCTCCCCGAAAAACAGCGTTGGACATAAAAATGACTGCTCAAATGGTACTGACTCCTCTAATCATCTCCAAAGACAATAGAAGATTTGGATAGTGGGGCGGAGGTTCAGATAGTCTTATAGTTTGTCTGCTAACCCTTCACCTACCAGCTGGATGACCTTAGACAGGCCACGTCCCCTCTCTCAGCCTCAGTTTCTCTGTTTGTAAAAAGGGGACAAGACAGCACCTATCTCATGAAGTCCAGACCTCCCATGACCTCACTGCCCTTGTTTTTTTTCTGTCCCGGCGACACTGGCCTCCCTTTTTATTCTCAGACACACCAGACCTCCTCCCACCCCAGGGCCTTTGCACTTGCTGCTCCTGCTGTCTGAGACAGTTTTTCCCCAGAGATCGCCATGGCTCACTCCCCAACTACCTTTAGGATTACTGCCCAAAGCTCACTTGGGTCAGGATTTCCCTGATCCTGTCCGCCTTCCCGCTTTCTTATTATTTTTCATAGCACTCATGACTTGTAATATTATATTTTGTATTTCTTGAACCTTGTCTCTCTTGGTTGCCCCCTCCTCTCAGAGTGCAGGCATCAGCAAACAGGGATTTCTGTCTGTCTGGTTCATTAATATATTCCCAGTGCCTAGAACCATGACCAGCTCACAGTAGGTGTTCAATAAATATTTGTTGAATGAAGGAAGGGAGGCAGGCAGGAGAGAGAGAGAGAAAGGCAGAGAGGAAGGAAGGCATGGGGAGAAGGAGGGAGGAAAGAAGCTAACCCACATGGAGCATTTACCTGGACAAACAAAATGTGGTATATCCACGCAATGGAATATGATACAGCCTTAAAATGGAAGAGACTTTTTTGTAATTGATTTTAGAGAGAGAGAGGCAGGGAGAGAAAGAGAGAGGGAGAGAGAAACATTGGTTTGTTGTTCCACTTACTTATGCATTCATTGGTTGCTCCTTGAATATGCCCTGACTGGAGATCGAACCTGAAACCTTGGTGTATCGGGATGACACTCTACCAACTGAGCTACCTGGCCAAGGCCAGAGGGGAATTCTGGTCTAGGCTACCACGTGGATGAACCTTGAAAACATTATGCAAAGTGCAGCCAGACGCAAAGGGATAAATAGTACATGGTTCCATTTAGTGAGGTAGCTAGAGTAGCTCAATTCAGAGACAGAAAACAGCACAGTGGTTACCGGGAAGGGGGAGTCAGTGTTGAATGAAGGGTGCAGAGTTTCAGCTACACAACAGTGGGAATGTGCTCAGTGCCGCTGAACCGCACACTCACAAATGGTTAAAATTTGTGTTATGAATATTGTACAATAAAAAAGCAAATTTGCCCAGCCCGTGTGGCTCAGTTGGTTGCGAGTTTTCCCATGCACCGAGAGGTCACGGGTTCCGTTCCCGGTCAGGGCACATGCCCAGGTTTCCACTCAATCCCCAGTCAGGGGTGTGCAGGAGGCAGCCGATCGATGATTCTATCTCCCTCTCCCTCTTCTGTCCCCTCTCTCTGAAAATCAATAAAAACATTTTTTAAAAAGCAAATTTATTTATTTAAGTTTTATTGATTGATTGATTTTTTTTTATCCTCACCTGAGGACATTTTTTCATTTTTTGTTCAAATAGAGTGGGACGAAGAGAGAGAGAAACATCGACATGTAAGGGACACAACCCAACCAGGGCCGGGGACAAACTGCAACCGAGGTACACGCCCTTAGCGGGAACCGAACCCCGGTCTCTCTGGACTGCAGGCCGACGCTCTAACCGCTGAGCCAAACCAGCCAGGGTGATTGATTGATTTTTAGAGCGAGAGAGGAAGGGAGAGAGAAAAAGAAACATTGGCTTGGTGTTCTGCTTATTCATGCATTCATTGGATGATTCTTCTAAAATTTAACGTGTAATTTTTATTGAGTTGAGAGAAAGACAGGGAGAGAGAGAGAGAGAGAGAGAGAGAGAAAGCAACACTGATGTGAAAGAGAAATGTGGATCTGTTGCCTCCCGTCCGCATCCTGACCAGAAACTGAACCCAAAATCTAGGTATGTGCCCTGATGGGGAATCAAATCCCCCATTCAGTGTGCAGGACGATGCTCCAACCAACTGAGTCACAGCGGCCAGGGGCAGACCCCAGATCTTACTCTGCCCCATTGCTCACGTGCATCCGTCTGCCTGTGCGTGTGCATATGTGCGTGTGTGCATGTGTGCATGTGTGTTTCTAGGTAACTTGATCCCATGCGGAGCTCTGTGTGAGCTACGAAACGGATCCCTCATCCCAGAGCAGGCCCCTGGAGCCCGCCCACCTGTCTGTCCCTAGAGAATTCTTTCTTTACAAAGGGGATTCGTGTGTTTGAGCGCAGGCATCCTGCCCTTCTGAATCACCAGGGCTGGAGCAAAGGCCTTTAGCACAAAGCAGTGGAGTCCCCGGCACAGCGCACAGCGGTCGGAGGGAGGCAGCTGTGGGCAGGGGCCGGGTGGGCGTGTGCACCCAAGGAACAGAGCGAGTCCCCGTGCTGGGGCAGGCTCCGCTCCCACAGCCCAAGCAGACGGCGGGAAAGTGGTTTGGGAGCCAGCCCTGGGCCAGTGAGGGAGGGAGAAAACAGAGAGGCGGCCTCCTGAGTCACCGCGTGGTGGTCTGGGGAGGGGTTGCTCAGGCTCAGAGACAAATTGCAGTCATTAGGGAATTTAAGAGGCTGAAGGAGGGGCTCAGCACACTGGCCCTGCTCCAAGTTAGGATGGGTTCCCCAAAGCCAGGGCCCTGAAAGGGGTGGGAGGGAATAATGGAGAACTCGTCGTGGAGGGGGCCATTGATATTCTCTTCCTACTTCCCCAATCCTTTTACCCATCGACACTCCCTTTTGCCTACTTCCTGATGTGATACCCAATAGAAGCGACTGGCTATCAAGGGAGTGGAGAGCAGATTTTTGCAGGATGACCTAGCTGCTCTCCCGTACTGCCGGCGATATTGGACTAAAGGCTCACATATGATTCAACCTTGTCTCTGCTTAATTGGCTCAAGGAGTGACAGGTACCTGGACCCATTGTTGTCCAGTTTCAGCCCCACCTCAGGCTTCCTGGAATCCTTCCTCCCCTCACTGCTCTGTCTCTCCTGTTATCTCTGGGTCTCCGTCTCCTTTATTTCTTTTTTCTTTCTCTTCCTTTTTTGTCGTCTTTATTTTTTCATTTATCTTTTTGTCTGCTTGTTGTTGTTGTTTTTCTTTTCTTTTTCTTTTTTTTCATTTATCTTTTTGTCTGCTTGTTGTTGTTTTCTTTTCTTTTAATTTTTTTTCGTTTATTTTTTTGTCTGCTTGTTGTTTCGTTTTTCTTTTGGGTCTCCATCTCTTCCTCTATTTCTGCACCCTACTCTCCAGTTCTGCACAGAGATTCCCCCTCTCTGACAGGGCCCCTGCTCCCCCACCTTCCAGGACTGTGAGGACCACAAAGTGAGAAAACATGGGAGACAGGATGGCCTCCTGCACCTCAGGCTCCTGCTGGTTCCTCATCCCCACCCCACCTCTCTCTTTCTGGGCTGCTGTTCCCCTCCATCGCTGCCTCCTCTGTTCCTGTCCCCATCACCAGTCTTGCACCCACCACCCCCTCTTCTCCCCACTTTCTTCTGCCTCATCCTTCATCCTCCTCCTCTCCTTCAAGGGTCTCTCCGCACCTCCTTCTGTCACCATGGCTACTATTCCGCATGTGTGTGTTTGGGGAAGGGGGACACCTCTGCCTCTTCTCTCTCTCTTTACCTTTTCTCTTTCCTTGTGTCTGTTTCTATTCTGTCTTCACCTTCGTCCCGGTTCTCTCTGCTTCTCACTCTGCTTTTCCACACTGATGTCTCCATGAATCTCTCTCTGTGCCTCCTGCCCCATCTTGTCATTTTCTATCTGCCTTCTCTGTCCCCATCTCTCTCAGTTTTGCCTTTTACACTTCTCTCTCTGGGCCTGTATTTTTCTTACCCTTTCCCTGGCTCTCCATCTTCATGGTACATTTCCGGCCTCTGTCCCTCCCTCCCTCACCCCCTCCCAGTACCTTCTCCTGAGCACTCCCTTACCCCATCCACCCTGCCCTGGGGTCCCCCTCCTTGGATCCCTTCCAGATTCTAACAGCTTCACAGGGGGGTGCGGTTTCTCATTAACAACTGTGGCTGCTTCTCTGGCCAGAGAGGAGAGGGAGGAGATGGTACCAGGGAGTCTTGGAATGAGAACTTAGCAATTAAAAAAAAAAGTCAGGAGAAGGGCGGGGTGGGGGGCGGGCAGGACCAACTGCCCAGACCAGGGATAAAAGGCCTCCACAGAGTGACAGGGAGGTGAGGCACCATCCCCACTTCCTCCACACAGGAAGACATCAAGGCCGGACGTGAGCCTTGTTCAGCGTCTTCCCTCCAGCCACCGAGGACCCCAGACCCTCCCTCTGGCCTCGACTCTGTCCTGGATCCATGTCCCTAAGGGTCTCGGTCTCTGTGTGAGAGACTCTTGCCGTCTCTGTCCCTCAACCTCTGGGTCTGACACAGCCTCCTTCTCCCTCTCACTTTCTCTCTGTTTTTGCCAGAACTCAAATCCCAAGTCCCCAGAATGTTCTTCCTGCTGACCGCACTTCAGATCTTGGCCATAGGTAAGATAGAAGTGGGGTTCGGGGTAGGAAGTTCCCTGGAGACATTGAGAAAGGAGGGGCAAGGGCCCTGGGGACCAGGATGTTCATGAGTAACCTGGTGAGAAGAGATGGGGTGGTGGTTTGGAAATCAAGGCTGACAGATGTGCTGGAGGGGGGTCCTAAGTGCTGATTCACGGTTCTATCAGGAGGTTTCAGGGCTCATATGAGAAAGGAGGGCCATATGGTGCTCCCAAATAATGGTGGGGGTGGCGATGGGGTGGTGGGCTCACAGCAGGGACATGGTATGGAGTATGGAGTGGGTGTGGGGAAAGGTGGTGGAACCTGGGGGGGCCACACTAAATGGCAAGTTTGGAGGTGGGACAGGGGGCTCCTTGAATGTGTTAGAGGAGGATTAATGGGGAGTATTGTCAAAAATGATGATGGAAAGTGTTTATGGGAGAATGCTCTCAAGATCAGAAGACATAGCAGACCCTGGGTCAAACAACGGGGGCAGTAGGCAGTAAGCTCTCTATTGTACTGGGACAGTGATGGGGGCCATGTTGGGCATATCTCATATTGGGTGGGGCAGACGGGTGTGGTAGGTCAAGGGTTCAGAATAGAAAGAGGGGTTTGGGTGCTGGGCATCTTAGCTAGCTGGGGGTGGGGGGGAGTGGAGGACATTTGCTTACCTGCTTTCCCCACCCCACCTTTGCCTGTTTCTAGCCATGGTACAGAGCCAAGATGATGAGAACAAAATAATTGGTGGCTACCCATGCCTCCAGCATTCCCAGCCATGGCAGGCAGCCCTGCTGGCAGGTATCACGCGTCGCTTCCTTTGTGGGGGGGCCGTGCTGTCAGACCAGTGGGTCATCACCGCTGCTCACTGTTCCCGCCTGTGAGTCACACCTCCTCCTATTCTTATGCCAAGAGAATTCCTGTTAGGAGCCCCAGAGCTCAGCTGAGAACCTGGACCCCTGTGCAGAACCTAAAGTAGTAGCTGGGTCCTGGTTTGGGGGGGTCTAGATAAGAGCCTAGAACCACAGACACAGCTCAGAATACGGAATCCAGCCATACATCTGGAACTCAGTTTAGATTTTGAAAGCAGATTGACAGATTAGAACCCATACACCAGCTTGGAGGCCCACACAGAACCTAGAACCTAATGCGTAACCTCGAGATCCATACGGAGGCCGGGCTCTTACATAAAGATTAAGATTAGGAGCCCATTGTAGATTGGTGGTTGAATTTGGGGCACAGTCTACATTTAGAAACCCAGGACCCCTCTCATAACACGGCCTAGAATCCAGAGTCTGGTTTAGAACCGATAGTCCAACCATAAATCTAGAACCTCACTTGTAGCTGGAACAAACAGCTCAGAGTGAAGGGTAGAAGCAGAATCCAGAGTACCTTCTGGATCCAATATTTAGTTTGGAGTCTCATCTATAGCTCCTCTTTGAGTGGCCTAGAACTTAGACCACAACCCAGTGTCTAAATCCCAGAATGCAGACCATAATCTGAAGCCCCACGCAGAACTCATAACCCCTCTAAGGTTCTAGACCTAAACCTGGAACCCAGGCCCCAGATAGGTCCTACTGCCTATAAATAAGATCTAATGCCATAAACTGAAGTTCAGTTTAGAACCTAGAGCCCAGAACTCAGCCCAGAGTCTAGAATATAAAACTCAGAATGCAAGCCAGCATCTAGAAACTTGGGCCCAGGAGCTCCATTTAGAACCCAGAGCCCAACCTGAGGTCAAGGACTCAGGCCAGAGTCTAAAACAAAGAGCCCAGATAAACCTGTCATTTGATGGGAAACAGAGCCCAGCCGAGAATCAAGACTGCAGACCAATATTTAGAACCCTAAGCCCAACTGGAGTACAGAGCTCAAACCATTGTCTAAAACCCAGGTCATAAGCCAGAACTTAAGCAAGAGCCCAGAACTCAGTCTAGAAACTGGAGCTCATATCAGCATCCAGAATCGGTAGCTCACGTCTTAATGCATTGGTCAATATAGCATCCTCACCCTACCCCGAAACTGAAAGCTCAAATCAACATCCAGAACCTAGATTCAAGCCATACATAGTGTAGAGCTCAAAACCCAACCCTCAGCTTAACCTAGAACGGTAAACTCACACTGGTATCTAGAAAGTATGCCGCAATCCAGACTCAATCTAGAACCAAAATCCTAGCTTAGATTCCAAAATCCAAAGGGTATAGAACCCAGAGGCCACGCTAGAACAAGGATGGAGCTTCCCTGGAGTCTAAGCCAGAATATCAATTCTGATTTAGACCCTAGAACCATAGTCCAGAGTCTGACTTAGAATACAGAGCCTAGAACCTGGCACTGGCCGAGAAGTCCCAACCATCCCCTTACACTCAAGCCAGAAGCCAGAGCACAGCTCAAGGAAGGAGGGAGGCTGGTGGGACTAGGCCAGGAGAGAATACCCAGGCCATGGGAGAGGGCACAGAGGCCAGCAAATGCTCAGCCTAGAGTTGGAGGGAATGGGGCTGGAGCATGGAGAGGGGTCTCTCCAGGTCAGATCATGAGCAACATTACTCTTGTGCGTCATGGGCCAGGATCCTTCGGGTAGCTCTGGGCAAGCACAACCTGAAGAAGCATGAGGCCACCCAGCAGGTGCTGCGCGTAGTTCAACAGGTGCCATACCCCCAGTATAACTCCCGGACCCACGACAATGACTTGATGTTGCTGAGGCTGGAGCGGCCCGCTCGGCTGGGGAGGGCGGTGAAGCCCATCACTGTGGCCCAGAACTGCAGCAGCCCACACACTCCCTGCCGTGTGTCAGGCTGGGGCACCACATCCAGCCCCATTGGTGAGGAGTCCTGCATCCCGGAGAGGAGCGGGCTGAGGGCTGGGCTTCTGGGTCTGAGGGAGGAGGAGGTAAGTCCCCACATTCCTGGGGCCTGTTGGAAGGTGGACCCAAGTCATGACCACTCAGTGCCTCCCCAGCCAGGTACCCTAACGCTCTGCAGTGCGTGAACATCAGCATCACCCCTGATCAGCAGTGTCAGAAGGCCTATTCCGGGGCCATCACTGCAGGCATGGTCTGTGCGGGAGTCCCGCAAGGCGGGAAGGACTCGTGTCAGGTGAGGCCCAGACTGAGAGTCGGAGGAAGGGTGACTCGGGGCTGGGACTTTAGTACAAAAGGATCTCAGGAGCATGAAAATCAGCAGGGGGTCCCCCAAGACCGAGAGAGATTGTAATAGCCAGGCCGCCTCCTGGCTGTAAGCCCTTGTAATGAACCTAATCCCTCTGTGCCTCGGTTTCCTCATCTGCCAAGCAGAGGTAGCACCTCTTCGAGCTGTTGGTGGAATTAGATGAGATAGTCCATGGAAAGAGCGCGGAGCTGCCCTGGCTGGTTTGGCTCAGCGGTTGGAGCGTTGGCCTGCGGACCAGAGAGTCCTGGGTTCGGTTCCCGCTAGGGGCACGTACCAAAAAAAAAAAAAGAGCACGGAGCAGCGCCTGCTCATGGCTCTGGTCACTGGGCACCTGGGAATCTGTGCTCAGGGCCTCTAGACATCTAATCCATCTCCCAGAGCAGGGGGATATGATGAGACACACGCAGTTTTCTAGAGACAGAGCTAAGATGAAAATGGGCTCAGTGAGACCCAGAGACAGCAGGAACCGAAGAAGAGGCAAGGAAGTGACCCGAACCCCAATGGAGATGTCTGCAGAGCCCCCTCCCCACCTGCCAGGCTCTCAGCCCACGCGCTTCCCCATCGCCGCCTCTCGGCTTCTCCGTGCATATGGCTCTGACCATCTGTCTGTGGGTGTCTCCATTGGACTGTCCCCCTCAGGGAGATTCCGGGGGACCCCTGGTGTGCAGAGGAAAACTCCAGGGCCTCGTGTCCTGGGGGATGGAGCGCTGTGCCAAGGCTGGCTACCCGGGAGTCTACACCAACCTCTGCAAGTACTACAACTGGATCCAGCGAACCATGCGGAACACATGATGGTCAGTGTAACAGAACAGCGCTGCTCACTCGCTGCCCAGACCTGCTCGCTCCGCTCAAGACCAGCCCCTCCTCCCCCAGACCCAGGAGCCCAGGCCCCCAGCCCTCCTCCCTCAGACCCAGGAGTCCAGGCCCCCAGCCCTCCTCCCCCAGACCCAGGAGCCCAGGCCCCAGCCCCTCCTCCCTCAGACCCAGGAGTCCAGACCCCACCCCTCCTCCTTCAGACCAGGAGCCCAGGCCCCAGCCCCTCCTCCCCCAGACCCAGGAGTCCAGACCCCACCCCTCCTCCTTCAGACCAGGAGTCCAGGCCCCCAGCCCTCCTCCCTCAGACCCAGGAGTCCAGGCCCCCAGCCCCTCCTCCCTCAGACCCAGGAGTCCAGGCCCCCAGCCCCTCCTCCCTCAGACCCAGGGTCCAGGCCCCCAGCCCTCCTCCCTCAGACCAGGAGTCCAGGCCCCCAGCCCTCCTCCCTCAGACCAGGAGTCCAGGCCCCCAGCCCTCCTCCCTCAGACCAGGAGTCCAGGCCCCCAGCCCTCCTCCCTCAGACCCAGGAGTCCAGGCCCCAGCCCTCCTCCCTCAGACCCAGGAGTCCAGGCCCCCAGCCCCTCCTCCCTCAGACCCAGGAGTCCAGGCCCCCAGCCCTCCTCCCTCAGACCAGGAGTCCAGGCCCCCAGCCCCTCCTCCCTCAGACCCAGGAGTCCAGGCCCCCAGCCCCTCCTCCCTCAGACCCAGGAGTCCAGGCCCCCAGCCCTCCTCCCTCAGACCCAGGAGCCCAGGCCCCAGCACCCGAGTCCTGACCTGCTCAGAACTCCCTCTCCCAGAGCAGTTCCTCAGAGGCTGTCCCCACCCCCACAGCATCACCACCCTAGACACAGAGGGTTGAAGCATGAAGGCAACAAACTTGGCAACATCTTCCAAAGAAGACAATTTTCAACACTCTTGGTGTCTCTGTCAATCAGATAAATAATAATAAAAATCAAAGAATCCTAAATTCCGTTCATCTGTTCATTGAATCCATCCAACACATATGCACACAGCAGCTCCACGGAGCAGGGCTAGGGGCCGAACCTGACACTGGCTGAATGGGACAGTTCCATGGGGGTTGACCGCCCACCCCCTCCATCCACCGTATCTGGTGTGAAAGAGGCCCCTTCAGCTTTGCAGTGTGACCGTGAACAGGACCACTTCTCCCCATCCTCCTATCTGGGTTATGTGAGCAGGGACAGCTGAGGTCCAGGGCAGGGAGGGCAATGATGTACTATTTCCTGGAAAACCCTATGCAAATAGAGAAGTCCTCTTTGTCCTAATCAGATATCAGGTGAAAAGAGTTGAGTTCATCACACTTTGGAGTTCAAGTCCCGGCAGAGCCCTGCTCTCGTTATATTGGTCTATTTCCACCAGTCATCCCCGGCCTAGGTCTCCTCCCTCCCCACAGGCACAGACACAGGTGGCCTCCAATGCCGTGCATTGTTGCATTGTTGCTTCTAATTCACAGGGAACCATTGTGTTATGAATTTCACTTTCTTACTTGCATTCATCGGCAACTGTCTTATTGGGCACCTACTGTGCACCAGACATTGGTCTATTTATTGGGCACCTACTGTGCACCAGACATTGGTCTATTTATTGGGCATCTACTGTGCACCAGGCATGTTCGAAAAGGTGGAACTTGGAATAAGCCCGACAAGACTAAATGCTTCCTCTCAGAGCTCCATTCTAGCAGCAGATGACAGGCAAGAAACGCGAAACTTGATTTCAAAGTAAAGTAGAGAGTCCCGGGAAGTAAAATGGTCAATAAACTTGAGCTGGGCGGCAGGCCCAGCGTGTACCACGGCCAGCTCACTCCAGCCCAGAGGAGCCTGTTGGCAAATTTTCAGGAATTCGGAGAGCAGGTTGCTAAACACAGCCATGATTAAAAATTAAATTACATAAACTTACAATTAAACAAGGTATATTATAAACAAAGTCCAGCCCTGGCCAGGTGGCTCAGTTAGTTGGAGCATTGTCCTGTATACCAAAAGGTTGCAGGTTTGATTCCCGGTCAGGGCATATACCTAGGTTTTGGGTTCGATCCCTGGCCAGGGCTCACAGGAGGCAACCGATTGATGTTTCTCTCTCACATCGACGTTGCACTCTATCCCTTCCTCTCTATATAAAATCAGTAAAAACGTATATACCCTCAGGTGAAGGTTAAAAAAAAAAACAATCTACAAAGTCCACAAACACTAGAAACTTGTCAATTCCTAATTATTTTTACCAGTATCCATGCTTTGACATTATTTATGTCTATCACATTACATCTGCAATGGTGGGCTTCTGCGCATCTTTCTGATTCCCTGTCGAGCGACTTTGCATTGGTAGGTTGATAACAGCTCAAGGGGCAGTATTTTCACCACAGAAATTGGCAAACAGTACAGATCAGAGAGCTGCTGTTAAACCCTTACCAACACACTACTGGACAGGTCAGCCTGGGAGCAACCCGATGACATTGGTGTCCATATTCTCATAGTTCTGTGCTAGGTCACTCCAGAGGTCACACAGAGTGGCATGCAGTGGCTTCACCCATGTTCATTCACTGTGCTGCGGGGGACAGTACAGAATCAGAGAATTCTGAGGTGGCGGTTGTGGGACCACAGCAGCTCAAAAGACTGCTGAGAAATGCCCTGGCCTGGTAGCTCAGTTGACTGGAGCAGCATTCTGATGCTCGGAGGTTGTGGGTTCAATCCCCAGTCAGGGGATACACAGGAATCAACCAGTGAGTGCATAAGTGGGTGGAACAACACATTCTCTCTCTTTCTATCCCGCCCCCCTCTTTCCCCTTCTTCTCTCTCTCTAAAAATTAATATGTTTTTTAAAATTAAAAAAAAAAAAGTTTGCTGGGTAATGGAGGCTGCACCTTCTGGGGCGATCACACACACACACACACACACACACACACACGGCCCAACCAGCTCTGGGAGGAAAGGGAAGAAAAGCAGTTGTGTACTTGGGTGGCTTCAGGCCCCAGAGGGATGAGGATATAGCCCTGCTGTAACTCTTGGACTACATTCTATAAAGATAAACAGACATACTTTAGCCCTGGCCGGTTTGGCTCAGCAGTTAGAGCGTCAGCCTGCGGTCCAGAGAGACCCGGGTTCAGTTCCCGCTAGGGGTGCGTACTCGGTTGCAGTTTGTCCCTGACCCTCGTGGGTCGTGCGGGTGGTGGCCACTCTATGTGTCCCCTTCACGTCTATGGTTCTCTCTCTCTCTCTCTCTTCCTCCCACTCTATCTGAACAAAAAATGGAAAATGTCCTTGGGTGAGGATTTAAAAAAAAAAAAAAGCAGACCTACTTTAACGATTGCTTTAATCGAATTTCCAACCTATACTCCCAGCTGTGATGGTTGAGTATCATATTTTATTGTTTCTCGAATGCACACGACTTTCCCATTTTTAACACTTCTATTACTTTAATGTTTTTATTAATTTTTTAGACAGAGAAACATCCCTGTGAGAGAGAAACATCGATTGGCTGCCTCCTGCACGCCCCCTGGTGGGGATTAAGCCCGCAGCCTGGGCATGTGCCTTGACCGGGGATCAAACCTGGACCTCTCCGTCATTGGGACGAACCTCAACCCACTGAGCCACACTGGCCAGGCCATTTTTAACATTTCTAAAGTGGGAGGGCATATTAGAACTAAGTGATAGTGTCTTACTTCGCATTATGTCATAATTTCATCGACACCCCTTTGTTTCTTACTTGTGTAGGAAATGTTGCAAATACAATCCACGGTGTTGTGAACCAAAAAAGGGAGGGGGAGCTTTATGAAGAATAACCTCATAGGGTGGTCCAATCATAAATTCCTAACTGGGCAGGTCATGGTGGGTAGTCCAGCATATAACTTCTTTAGGGAAGGGTTTTAAATCAGCCCTGGCCATTGTCTCTGTGCATCTAGACTCACAGGGCGCAGAATTCGATCCCCGCCCTGCTTTCTCCCACCTCCATGTAATCTGCGTTCCTTCCTTAATTCCGAGGGCATAAAAGAAACCCCAGAACTTTTATTCTCCGGAGCATTTGAGATCTTGCTCCCCGGCATGTGTCTTCGGTTTGGTTAAAATAAACACGTACAAAAATTATTGACAGGTTTGGACCCTTCTAATGTCGACAGCATTTCAGATGGAATGAAACGGGGTACAAAGGAAAGTGAGTGGGGTCAGGTTGCCATACTAAGTAGACGATCTCATTCCATATGCTGTTTGCTCGTCTAGCGTATTGCTTCTAATTGCCGCAGTCTTCTCAAGCTGTGATCCACGTAGTAGCCACTAACCGCATGTCTACATTTTTATTTATTTGTTTGCTTTTTAATCCTTACCCGAGGATATGTTTTTATTGATGAGAGAGAGAGAGAGAAACACTGATATGAGAGAACAACACTGATTGGTTGCCTCCCATACACACCCTGACTGGGGATTGAACCTGCAACCTGGGTATGTGCCCTGACCGAGAATCGAACCCAAGACCTTTTCAGTGTATGGTACGACACTCAGCCGAGTCACACCAGCCAGGGCACATGTGGTCATTTTAAAATTAAAATTAACTGGCCCGGCTGGTGTGACTCAGTGGTTGAGTGTTGACTCATGCACCAAGAGGTCTCCAGTTCTATTTCCGGTCAGGGCACATGCCCAGGTTGTGGGCCCAAACTCCAGTGGGGGTATGCAGGAAGCAGCCAATCGATGTTCTTATCCCTCTCTCCCTTTCCCTTCCTCTCTCTCTCTCAAATCAATAAAGAAATAAAAATTTTAAATAAAAATAAAATTAACTGAATTTAACCCATGTTAAACTTCCATCCCTTAGTCTCACTGCTACATTTTGCCGCTCAACAACCACGTGCGGCTAGCGGTAGCCAAATTAGATAGTGCCAATAAATAAAACATTTCCATTATTGCAGAAAGTTCACTGGTACAGTTCTACTCAAGTCTGCACCCTTGCTTCTCAGACCATGGTCCCAAGAACAGCAGAATTA